TTGGACCCAGAGGAGTAATGGAGCGGACTGTCACTTAGATTTCTTATGGGAAATTGAACGGATCATGTGGAGGTTTTCCCCTACTCAGTGTATTCTCTGTTGAATTCCTTCCAGACGGAGAAGGTCCAGGTCCAGACATCCAGTTTTCACAGGAAGGCTTCCTGTTAAAGAGCAAAGACAAAAACACATTAAACTCAAAGAAAAAAAGCTTAGGTTAGACTCAGCAGGCAACAGGCAAACACTCTGGCGTCGAGGTAGTGACAGCCCGCTACTCAAATACTCCTCCAGTAATTAACCAACGAGCCGCAGGTGTGCAGGGAGGCCCAACGAGGACAGGGCACCACCTGGTGGTGGAGAGAGAAGAAACACACAAACAACCCACACAAACTGGATTCCTAACACTGTTGGAATTTTTTTGTAGACTTTTGTCACAACTGTTCATAAAAATGACAATGCTTAGTTAGGATGTGAATTGCATCATGGCAATCAGGGAGTCAAATCCTTTCTAAAGTATAAAAGCAGACCTATACAGAACAGCTCTTTGCTCCAGTAAAAACAAACAATCTTACAGTTTCTAAAAAGATAGCAACTAATACAACCGTAAACAGTTCATATTTTGAAATCCATAACTTGTTTCCTTTATTTCTTTGTCCCCAGGTTCTAAAAAACAGTTTTAGTTGTGCTGTTCACCAAAAAGAAAAAAAAAAATCATTATTTACAGCCTCAACAATTCAAGAACAGAAATTAGTTTCCAACTAGATCAAATAGAGCTGGACATTAGGCCAATGTGCCACAGTCTGGCTTATGCCTCGCAGACTTATGTATCTGGGACAAGCCCAGCAAATCAAGTGAAGCTATCTCTTAGTTTGCCCTTTACCTGCAGGATGAACCATGAGGGACCAGTGCAAAGATGATGGAGTTGTAGTCAAAAAAAATTAACATAATTGCAAGTACCTTACATTATAATAACCTCTTACATACAAAAAGAAATTCGGTATCCTTTTTTTTTTGCCTATCTTGTGCATCAACTGTCACTGTTGCTAGGCGACAGAGCTTATACTGAGTGAGGGGTGGTGACAGCTGGAGAAGGCTGGACCTTTTTGAATCTATAGCTGAACTCTTCCAGCCTCCTTATTTTCACACCCTTCGATAGACCAAGTCCAGGTAGACCGGGTCCTTGGAGGACGCAGCCACCAAAATTGAAATGAAAGCCGTCAAGTCCTGTTTAGTCTGTCTGGCCTCTTATTGTGAGAAACACCTTAAGCCTCATTATGATTCAGATATATTTAAGAAACAAAATGATAACAAAATGAATGAGAACATCTGCTCTGAACATGATGAGGTGATGAAGATATTCTGTCTTACTGATCAGAAGTGTATCTGTTGTTTCTGTTTAATGGAGGAAAATATCGTCTATACACTCTGCTGATAAAACCATGGAGGACAGTGAGAAGATCTTCACTGAGCTGATCCGTCTCATCCAGAAAAGAAGCTCTGATATGAAGCAGCAGATCAGATCCCAGCAGAAAACTGAAGTGAATCCAGTAAAAGAGCTTCAGGAGAAGCTGGAGCAGGAGATCACTGAGCTGAAGAAGAAAGAAGCTGAGCTGAAGCAGCTCTTAAACACAGAGGATCACAACCAGTTTCTC